ACAAAAAATAGAAAATATTATTGTTAATTTATTGTTTTTTTCATACTCCACAATATTATTTTTTATTTAAATAATTGATTTAAGCAAAAAATCTTGCATTTATGCTTGAGAAGCTATAGCTGCCCAAATTAGAGCCGATAGGTCAAAATATATGCCTTATTGTGCGCCTAACAGCACTATGTACACTGCAACAATCCAAAAATCAATGTGTCTACCGAGCAATTAAATATCACTTAAAACCAAATACTAAAAAAAGGTTTCACACTTAACTCACAAGATTCTGGAAAAAAGATACAGGAAAAAAAGAAAATTGCCACCAAAAATTTTGAATAGAAGATATGTATTTGAAAAATCGAAAATTCTACGGAAAAGCTCAGCACTTTGTGTCATCACTTCCTGGTTTTGAGGTCGGGAAACGTGGAACATGGAAAATCGGGCAGTGGGAGCATGTCAAAGCCAAGCGACAAGCGGTGCGGTGGGCGAAGGACCAAGGACCAAGGACCAAAAACCGAGGACGAAGGACGAAGGAAGATGCGGCGACCAGCGAGTTGGGCGCCGCGGCGCATCTCTCTGATCCCAGCGGGAGTTTTGCGAGCTGGCAGAAAATCACAGCAGGGGTCGAGGGGTCGAGGGGTCGCGGCTGGTGCTTTGAGCTCTATTTGGGGTTGACCTGTCGCCTGCCGTCGACATCTCGAGCCCTCGATGTCCTTGCGCGCCTCACACAGTTGCCATTCGCCAGATCCAGCCGCTTTTCCCACCCCTTTCCGTCCACCGTCCACCGCCCTCATCCCGAGCCCACATGCCGCGTTCTTGGCTTTAATTTCGGCGCATTTGGCTTTTGTAACGTGATTATCAGACGATTTGATTTGGCGCTAAATGCAATTGCCAAATGCCAAAGTCAACGGGCAGCGGGAAAACTCCGGGACCGACACAAGTGGCAATTGTTGCTGGGGGAAAAGCGAACTTCTGATAAGCCAATTATATCAAAAACAAAATCACAGCCCTCAGAAATAAATCGAAAGTACGGCAAGTCCAATACATGTTATTCCCGGCTAAATGAATGGGTTGCTTATGCACTTCTCAGTGTAATTTAAATATTTTCTGCAAGCTTATAACATTTTATGGGTCAATGATCATAGCACAAGACTCGCAACAATTAATTAAAAATTTACTATTAAAGCCATTTAAATATTTTACACATGTACACATTTATTAACCTAAAAGTCATAACTTGCTGCTTTGGAAATATTAAAACTAGAATTTTAAGTCTAAGTCCATAAGTAAATAGTGTGACGCTATGAAATGTGTTGCAAAACGTTCGATAGGAAAGTGTGAGGCAACTCTAAATTACTACTCAGTGTTGCAAATTCGTTTGACACTGACAATTGGTATGAACTTCGATATCTTGTAGTTATTTCTTCAGTCGCGACTCGAATATCTTCTCTTCTGAACAACAAATATATATTTTTAAATTAAACTTTTCCTTATTATACTATCTTGACTGCTATGTGCCAGCCTTTGTACCACATTCTGTGCCTTACTTTTTATTTTACGATTCTTGTTATTCCGTAATGGACTGATTTTTTATCATTTGCTCATGGTACATGGTCATCCCAGTATATTTTTCAATTTTAGTCATACTTTTTAACAATTCCCTACTCGGTTGGTCTTTCACTTCCTCTACCGAATGTAAATGGTATGTAGGTGCAGTACTTTGTTATAATTTTAGTCATACTCTTCTGCCCTTTCAAGTTATTTGGTTGTCTCAAAGGGTGCGTGTCGTACCTAATTTACTGATTCTTTTAATCGACTATTTATAAATTTAGTCATATTCTATTTCCATTAGTGCCTGAGCGCCTTCTGATTTACCAAATCGATGTTAAATATCAGGTTTTTTTCGATATTTGGCAAAAATATATTTCATAAGACGTATGAACGAACATTTTTTTAAAAAACTATGGAAGTGAAATTTTATAACAAATTTTTAATTGTCCACCCAACTGGTTCTTCTTGGATATCCTAAGTACACTACTTAGGTACTTGGGATTCCAGTATTTTCGATTATAATATTATTGATATAATTAGAAAAATAAATTGAGTCGGATCTACTCCACTGAATCTTTTTTTTTTCGGCAACCGAATGTGTCTGGTACTTTGTAATAGTTTTAGCCATATTCATAAGCATACATGCTGCATCACCCCGAATCGGACAGTCACTTGCTTTGATTGATCTTTTGAGCGACTCGGCGGAGTGGGTTATCAACCATAGCCATGTGCTATTGGTGGCTGAGATCGAGTCGCCACCTGGGGCCCATCATCTGCGTCTTCGGCCACATCATCATCTTCGTGCTCCTTCCTCCCTGACAGCGTTTTTCCTAGCAGATGCTAACTTGTGGACTCGGCTTTTCTGGGATCGCCTTGGCTCCCGGGGGAATTGTTATTGTTGTTACTGGTGGCACAGTAGCTGCAGAAACACCTCGCTGGCGCACAGGTCATCTATCTATGTGCTGGCGTATAACCCTCGCAGCGATTTCCCTCTGCCATTTCCCATATCTGTCTCCATCTTCATCTCTAGCCGAGCGCACATAAATATGGGAAAAGGAAGAGCTGGAAAAAAAATGCAAATCACTGAAGCTCAAAAGCCCAGAAGGGAGGGTGGTGGTGGTGGTGGTTTCGCCGGCAAAGTCAAGCCATGCAAAAGTATTACAATAATTATGATAATCTATGCCATAAAAAAGAGCCCAGTACCCGAAACTCGAACTGAAACTGAACCTGAACCGAAAGTCGCATTTGTGGCTTGACTTGGTGTAGGATAATGTGGGTGGTTGGGAGGTTGGGAGGTTGGGAGGTTGGGTGGTGCCAAAGGAATTACCATACTTTAAGCTACCGCAAGCAGAACCGGAATATAGAGCTGATGGGAAATGTGGAGGAAAATCCTGGAGTTGCCAACTCGGATATCCCCCGTTTTGAAGGCTAAATTCAGCATCAAAAGGGGGAGAAAAAATGTGAGCGAAATATCCAAGGTTTCTGAGGTGTGAGATGCTATGTATTTTCGGCAAAGCCGGTGGATTCCATTCCTGAAGGTCGGACAAATTCAGAATAACCCTGACAAAAGTGACTCCTACAAAGTGGCTGTAATTAGTATTCGCCTGTTGAGCTATTTTGGTTTTTTAAGGCCGAAACGCTACCGATTGCCAGTAGTTCCTTAGATCACAGTATCTTTTTATACCCTTGCAGAGGGTATTATAATTTTGGTCAGAAGTTTGTAACGCAGTGAAGGAGACGTTTCCGACCCCATAAAGTATATATATTCTTGATCAGGATCAATAGGGGAGTCGATATAGCCATGTCCGTCTGTCCGTCTGTCCGTCTGTCCGTCTGTTTCAATACCGTTTGTTAGCTCAGTTTAAAAGCTAGCGATCTGAAACTTTCACACGCGTCCTAAAACATGTGTACGCAGATCAAGTTTGAAAATCGCCCCGATCGGACGTCTATATCCTATAGCTCCCATAGGAACAATCGGATATATCTAGCAAAAATTGATGATATTTCGCGCAGTGTAAAAGCTATTGACATGAATTTTTCCAAATCGTATTTTTTTATGCATACCTTGATCAGGGTAAAAGCGCGTGGCAATCGGACGTCTATATCCTATAGCTCCCATAGGAAAAATAGGGTAAAATCGGTCCAAATTTTATGTTTTTCAGAATATTTCGCGCTGTGTAAAAGCTATTGCTATAAATTTTTTCCAATCGTATTTTTTTATACATTCCTTCATCAAGGTGAAAGCGCGTGCTGATCGGACGTCTATATCCTATAGCTCCCATAGGAACAATCGGATATAACTTTCAAGAATGGAAGATATTTTGTGCAGTGTAAAAGCTATTAACATAAATCTTTCCAAATCTTATTTTTTTATGCATACCTTGATCAGGGTAAAAGCGCTTGGCGATCGGACGTCTATATCCTATAGCTCCCATAGGAACAATAGGGTGAAATAGGTTAAAATTTAATGATTTTTAGGATATTTCGCACAGTATATAAGCAATTGACATGAATCTTTCCAAATCGTATTTTTTTATGCATACCTTGATTATGATAAAAGCACGTGACGATCGGACGTCTATATCCTACAGCTCCCATAGGAACAACAGGGTGTAATCGGTCCAAATTTGATGATTTTCTGAATTTTTCGCGTAGTGTGTAAGCTACTGACATAAATTTTTCCAAGTCTTATTTATTTACGCATATCTTGATTAGGGTAAAAGCGCTTGCCGATCGGACGTCTATTTCTTATAGCTTCCGTAGGAAAAATAGTTAAAGGCTGCGAAAGTATCCCTTTTTTTCTATTTTTATATGACATTTTTGCAGTATAAAAGCAATTGACATTAAACGATGAAAATCTAGTTTATTTATGTATACCTTATTCCTTTGGCTACTTTTTCAGTTTTAGCAATTTCGGCAAAGTCTGCAAGGGTATTAAAACTTCGGCTTGCCGAAGTTAGCTTCCGTCCTCGTTAAATTTAAGCCACTGTCTAATTGATTGGTCTTTCATTTCCTCCACCGAGTGAAAATGAAGGCAACCATCCAGTTATGTTTTTTCATAATTAGAGTCAAGTTCTCTTTGTGATTGTCAACATGATTAATTCTTCAAATCGACTGCCGGTTGCATGTGGTGATGTACATTGTTATAAGTTGGAATGGAATATGGAATATTATAACAAAATGACAATCCTTAGAATAATCTAATGCTCAATTATATATCAATAATATATTATAATTTCCTTTAAGGTTATGCGAATACAAATGTCGACTTTGCTATTTTCTCTTTCTCACTGACTCGCTGTGTTCGTAACGCACAGAAATTCTGCCATATATACTGTTCAACACCAACCTGCTGATTTTCCAGCTTTCCCAGTCCACTCTGAATGCCCAATGTGCAACATTGCCAGTTGCAATTGCATGTTGCAACACATCCTTGTGGCCCAGCAGTGTTGTTGTCACTCATGTTGTTGCTGCTGCTGCCGATGATGTTGCTGCTGTTGTTGGCAATCTGTATATTGCTGCTGCTGTTGCTGCTGCTGCTTTTGGTGTTGCTGTTGGTGTTGCTGTTAGTGTTGCTGCTGCTGTTGTTTTTGGTACTGCTGATGCTGTTGCTGATGGTACTGTTGCTGCAGTTGATGCTGCTGCTGTTGCTCCTGATACAGTTGCTGCTGCTGTTTTTTATGTAGTTGTTGCTGTTGCCATGGCTGCTGCATGTGTTGTTGTCGACATGCCATCAATATCAGGCTCCGCTGTGGTTGCTGTTGCTGTTGATGTTGCTGTTGCTCCCAGATCTGAAAGGCACAACGACAACAAACAAACAGCGGTCATGGCCACGAATAAAAAAACTATTATAACGAGGGTTGCCTTTAAAAACCAACAAAAATTGTTTCTAAGTTCGTAATTGTTATTAAGTTGTCAAGTAAAATCCTGTGAGCAAAATGTTACTCTTCTAATAGTTCGTATTTAAAACAAAAAGTTGCAATGCATCTAAGGATACTTGGCTAAGTTTAAGAAACATGACCTTAAAACATATAATAATTTAGGCCTTGTTAAAAAAACACTAAATTATATTTAAAATATTGTGGTAAGCTAATAAATTAAAATTTTCATTTTGTTTCCTAAATTTTTCATTGTTTCTTAATATTTGCCGTACAATATTTAGTTAAATTGTTTGTAACATTAAATAAAATAGTTATTTGCCCCCTTAAATACAATAGTTATTTGCCTCCTTTCTGGCAGTAAAATGATGGCTTCAAACTCTTCTTTTGTAATGAATGTTTTCTTTGTAACCTTCAGTTAGGTCTCTTGAAACCCCTCTCCTCTTGGTTCTGGACCCATTCCCCTTTGGAAATGTCGAGAATCGAGTCCGAACTCGGATTCGGACGACAGGTTGCTGTTCTATGGCTTTTCAACTATTTTTCCGGGCTGGGAAAAGGCCCCCATCCCGATTTCCCCACCCACACCCACACCCACAGGCTGTGTGCCATGGGTAGTTTTGATAAAACGTTTCAATGGCTGAGCACATAACAGTTGACTGGCTGCCGTGTCTGTGTGAGTTCTCTGTGTCTCTGTCTGTGTGACAAAGACCATAAACTCCAAAAAAAAAATAAAAAGCTGAGCACACACAGCAAGGACAAACGTTGCCCCGAGGCCTGAAGCCGAAAATCTCAAGCTCACGGCTCATGGCTCCCAGCAATAGCACCCCCACTCCCTTAAACAAAAAAAAAAAAAAAAAAAAAATATATATATATATATATATCCCGGATCCCCAAGTACTACCTACCTCCCCCCGAAAAACCGAAATACCATGTTGCTGCTGTTGACGATGCAACGCTGACTGGCATTTTGGGGGTGACGGTGGTGATAAAAACTTGTGCTTGTTGTAATAACAAGAGCATCGGGAACTGCCGCCGATGTTGGAGCTGATACTACAGTACAGCCATTGCCAAAGTTATAGGTACACTCAGAGAAATAAGGTGCTAATAACTCTGTTACCACAGTTTACCTTTGAAAGCACAGATTATGGAATGAAAGTAAGTATCTAATCAGGGTAAATTTACCATGATCAACATTAAGAAACTAATTATACGGAATTCTAAAATTAAATTTTATACTTGTCCTTCTCTAACCGCTCACCTTTGAAATACGTATAACTTTTTTTGTTAAGTGTATTACTACCTCCTAAAGATGTTGCTGTTGTCACTGCCAAACGCACAGTTTGAATTTCAGTCACTGAACATAGTTTTACCGATGTAACAAACGACTATCTTATAATAAAAATAGGGAAAATCTAACGTAAATGTTCCAAAGAGTAAACCAATTCAAAATATATATTTATCGCCTTTAAAACCCAACGATAAGCTTTATTAAATATTTTGTAATATTTTGTATTAAATATATCATTAATTAAATATAGAAGACATTACTACATTTTTGTAGAAACGGTTGAATATCTGCAAAGCAAAGACAATTTACGGCTATATAAAGAAAGCTTTGTATTAAATTAAGTTTAAGCGACTTACTTTTTTGTATTATAATTGAATGACAGCATTTTTCTCTCGGTGCAGGGGGAGTTGGGCGGTGGTTTTGGGTGAGGCCCGACTCAATGAGGCTATTTGGAACACAACGATTTCGCGAGGACGACAACGACAACGCTCCTGATTCTGATACTTACGAGAATGGAGATGGCTGCTGGCCGGGAATGAGGATGAGGATGTAGTTGAGGATGAGGATGTGGATGTGGATGTGACTGTAGATGTGGATGGATAGATGGATGAGGAGGGAGATGGCAATGACGATGATGATTACACGTTGACGATGACGACTGTGTAGCTGCCATTTGGCCTCCCACTCCAACTGCCACTTTCCCTGCGTCTACACAGAGAAAAACAGAATAAGGCTTAATACAAATATTTTAAAGACTCCAACCAACAGGATCACAATCAAAGATTAAAACGCCTAATTTAAATAGTTTTTCACTTATACGTTTGACATTTTTTTTTTTTGGGAAACGTAACCCTGAATCCACTTTTATAACAACATGATAGTTAACCAAAAATATATTTGGGTGTGTAAAATGTTTACCTAACAATTTTTTACCCAACTTAAGAAAACTAAACGATCTTACGATATATTTGTTAGCCCAATAAAAAAATTCGTTGATTAAAAAAACACATTTTTGTTGAACTTTAGTTATTTAAGTTCCTAACTGTTTGGTTATAATAATCTTACATTTTAATTGACATTTTTGGGTACCTTTCTGCCGGTGCACTTCCCGCCCACTCTTCCCACTTTCTCCGCAGCCATTTCTCCCACTCTTCCCACTTTCTCCGCAGCCATTCCCCCCACCCTCCGTGGAAGATATTCATCGAAAGCAGAATGACAGCCTAGAGACACATTCAAGGCGAAGGCGAGAGATAAGAAATGAATGACAGGCCCAAGAACCAGAACCAGAAGCAGAACCAGATTCAGATTCAGATTCAGGCTCGGATTCGGAGTCTGTAGGGAGGGGATGGGGGAGGGGGTGGGGGGAGGGGCCAGGATCCAGGTTCCAGGAGTTGGCCCAAGGACCTCCAGCAACGGCACATCAGTCAGTGTCAGGGTGAATGCGAAATTGCGTTGCTTTTACGAGTTCGCCTCGGCAGCACAACTGCCACATAAAAGTAATGCCTGATGGATATATCCCTCCCCCGACACCCCCACGTCCCCATATCCCAACATCCCGACATCCTGGCGAAAGGTAAACCAGAGTCCTTGCCATCGTTACAAGATATATATCTAAATGGGGGGGGGGCATAAATCACAGTCGCAGGCGTTTTGGGGGCCAGATTTCAGCATCCAGAGTCCTGAATCCTGAATCCAGAATCCAGAATCCAACCACGAGATGCGACTGGAATCACAGCCCTTATTTCATTCCCGCCCATTTGCCCCACAAATATTTATATGCTAATGCTGCCAATGGGAAAACAACACGGAAAACCTGACGAGACACTATTTTTAGTATGAAGATACACTATTTTATAGACAAATATGGTAAACTTGATTTTAAAATAAAAATCTGCATTCAAAAGTGAACCCTAGGGAAATCTATTTTAAGTATTTTTGTCCTAGTTTTTAATAATTTGATGGCTGGCAGAAACTTAATCCTAAAATGTGAGGTCTAATAAATAATTTAAGACTCTGTTCCTAAAAATTCTGTGTAAATAAAAGCGGAAAGAAATGAATACGATTCTTATCTAGCTGTAACAAAATTGAGTCGCAAACTTAATTTCCTATTTCCCATTTTATGATCTTTTTTCAAGCAGTTGACAAGCTGGATTGGATTTAGAACCGAATCAAACTGCACTTTACAATATGCATTTCGCAGGCAAAGAAAGAATGTCAATAACTAATGTCAATCAGGTGACCCCCGTGCCCCCGTTCCCCCTGTTTCTTCCATATTTCCTCCGCTGCCAATCGAACTTTGCTCTAGGAATTATGCTTATATAAGGAGGCAAGTTCCACAAATCAGCAGCAGCAAATACGTGCAACGACGATTCGGTCACGTACCAGGATCGGAAAAAAGGAAATGGAAATGGAAAAGGAAAAGGGGGAGAGGGGAGGGGGGGGGGGGGTGCGGGCAAACAGTCAGACAAGGATAAGGCCAAATTGGAGCACCAAAGGCAAATTCCCACTTCTCTGGCAGTAAAGCCGAGCACAGCAAAAATACCAGCCGGATATAAACAAAATATAGTTCGAAGCGGTGCACTGTAAATAAATATTGTGAGAAATCTAAAACTCCATCTTGGAAAGATAAGAAATGCATTAAAACAATTTCAAATATTAAAGAAAGTACAATACTTAAACCAAATCAAGAATAATAATAATAATATTTATAATATTGCAGCGATTTAAATACCTTCACCTTAACTACAATTTTATTTTTTAAAATTTAAGACGCAGGCAATAATAACTAAATATTTGGATTTTAAATATCATATATAATGTCGATATTTCAAGATTTATTTATTTTAAGGTTTAATGGCAAGGTATAAATATTGTATTCCTCTCACGAATTATATTTTATACACTCTTTTAATTAGAAAATCATAATATAATGGCAACATTCAATTGTAAATCTTATAGCAAGTAATAACAATTATTTCTTTGAATTATTTAAGTAATATTGTGTAGTTCTAACTTTTTCCAGTGCCGACATCCACTTGTTTTACATGGACACACGAATATATAAATGTACAATATCTATACATATTCGTATATATTTGGGGCCTCTGCTTGTGGGCGTAGCATGTCAACTGTGATGGAGACTGGGGGGCGTGGCAAGTGGTGGGGGTGGGGGTGGGGGTCTCTTTGGGTGGTTTTCTGGGTGGGTCGCATTGGTGGTTGCCACGCTTTGACGGCCATGCCATCGAACCCTCTTCCTGTCCTTCAGTGAACGTCGGCCTATCTTTGGTCATATCAATATGTATATATTCAAGGATATCTGACACACAGACAGCCTGTCTTTTTGGGGCTCAATCGGAGCTACCATCTGCCATATCAGAGGTCCAGGAGTAAAGTTCCATGGAATAATATCTTTGAACTCCAAAATAACCATCTAGTTATTCCCACAAATGTGTAGATACTTTGAGGGGCAACTGTAAAAAGTGAAAATGTATTTTATTTCATAAATATAGACAAAGAAATAATGACGATAGTTAAATTTTGCTTTAAAATAATTGTTATTACAATAGCGTATTTCGTTGTAATAAAATACAAAATGTTTTTTAATTTTTCATTACAAAATCCAAAA